GAGTGATTATAACTGGGCTCTGATGAGATCAGTGGTTTTGGTTCTGAACTCAAGTGTTGTCTTTCTTGTGACCGCAGGTGGCCGTACGCTCAAGTGGCTAAAGCCATGGCTGAACTGGGCTGCAAACACTTGAATAAGAATGTGGGCGAGGTGCACGTCGATTCCAAGAACAAACTGGTGACTACGAGTGCGTTCATGTGCAACGCTCCTGTCCATGAGATCTTTGATGGTGTGGGTGTCATGGTCAAAGATGTTCTCAAACTAGCCTAACTTTGTCATTTCACTGTCTCAACGTTATTACATCAATACATATGTGTATTTATTTATAAATGAATAAAGATGTTGTCCACTAACCCCAGAAAAGTTAAATACAGATCTGAATTTATATATCAGAAACCTGGTGAGACCAGTTCATTTTCAGTAAAACTGGACAGACTTACTGTCAATGCTTGTGTTTTTGTGGTAGCCTATTATGAATAAAACTGAACTGATTTTAAACATTTGCTTGCTCATTGGTTTGTTAATGTGCATTTTTTTTATGTCATGATAGACAAGCTCAATAAGTATTATTTTACAATATGTATTATTTTAAGGTTTATTTGACACTTTTTCTTTCCTTTTTTCCCATTAAGATTGGCACACTCCCCCAAACATTGGCAACACTAAATTGGATCTGAATTGAAAAAACAAAAACAAAAAAACACCGTTTTATTTATATTATAAAGCATATCAATTTCAAGTAATAATTTGTGACAATAAATAACTATATATATATATATATATATATATATATATATAAAACAAGAATATTTTTTGCATAGCAATCATTGAGTTGTGGATACAATTATTTGACTTACATGACCTGAAGTAGCTGTTTCAGTTTAATTTGATGCTTTTATGCTAACTTCAAAGCCACATGCTAAGACAGTTTGCCATGTTATGGCTGTTTGGGTTGGGGATAGTTGTAACAGTTTATTAAAAATGTTACAACCAGCCGCTATAATGATTCCAATGAGTCCAGTTATTGATCACATCCTCTGTTGAGGCAAAGTCACAGTTCTTTGCTGCATATCAAGGTTTATGTGCATGTCTTCCTACCAGATAAAAAATGATCCGTCTCAATTGAACACACAAGTTTTTTTGCACACATTATATGAACTTATGCACACCTATATCTCAAAATAGGTGGATCATGGAAACATAGCTAATGACTGAACCCTTATGGGGCAGGAATACAGTACACTTACATGCACACTCACACAAACATGTGCGACAATTGTTTTGCGCTACATTTAAAGTTCTAAAAAATACAATATAATGTTTTTGTCAGTTTAAATGGTTCACGTTGTTCAAAACTGTTTTTCTTTGCGCAAAAATTGGATAGTGTGGATGTTATTTCAGCAAATGACCTCTCATTACATCTAGCCCCAGCTAGAGTTACAACTCACCCCAAGAGAATCCTTTGTATTTGACATGAACTCACATAATCTGTGAGTATGCAGGGGGAGACCGGGGGCAAGTGTAACACACTCGATTCCTCCAATCAGAAACAAGCTAGAGTGATGACACTTAATCTGCACATGCTCAATTGGATTCTCTTTCTTCCTGTGGAAAAAGAGCATGATCATTTCACCTCAGCAGAAGCTTTCAACAAAATACTGATTTTGAGGTATAAAAGTGAATTTTTGGATGTACAGTATTTTTCTTCTGCTGTTTAAAGTCTAGATGACTGTGAATTTAAATTTACAGAAATGTTATATCTAGGTTATTGATAAAAAATTAACATGAACAACCTATGCTAATATAGGTGTGTCTATACCTAGCATATGAGATTTTATCATAGCTGCAACATCGGGGGCAATTTTAACATTGTGTTGCAATGTTGCAATGCTGAGCCCAGTGTTATCACCTTGTTTTTCTGTCTTGACATATTTTTCTGTTCGGAAAGGAACATATTTAAATTTAAAACTACATTTGAAAATTATTAGTGTTACACATTAAACAATGTGCTGCTTTTAAATCTTTTTAAAATATACAATGAATATTATCTCCACATGATCTTATTCTGTTAATATGTCTATCTACTATGATTTCATTCAAGTTTGGTTAAAGACTGTTCTTGACTCATCAGCTGATTAATGTACATGAGTAAAATATATATTTAAAATAATTAAAAACTAGTTATCACTAGAATAGTTGCCTTGTCTTCTGCAAAAATAAAAATAGACTTTTGCTTTTTGAATGCGACATCCAAAAGAATTTGAACCATAACAAAAAAAAAAAAAAAAAAAAAAAAAAAAAAAAAAAAAAACTCTCAGATACAGTGGGGTAATGACTTATTTTTCAGTGTTACAATTGCCCCCAAACGCTGTTACAATCCCCCACCAAGGAGGCAATTGTGACACTCTGACTTCTTGCATTTAACTTAATAGTATAGACTTGTCCTTATTAGTAAAAAATATATCAATTGTATTATTAATTAGTGCACCTATATTTCTTTCTTGAATAAAAAGATGACTAGTGTATTTCAAGTAATCTGTGAGTTATGAAGTACAATTTAATTTTTTTTACAATTGCCCCCCTACACATACAAGTGTGTTTTAATTGTAGTAGACAAATGTAGCTACCATGTATCACAATTTGAGACATCTAGCACAAACAGCCACTGAGTTACTGATGCTTAAACAAAAAGTATTACAGCCATCCCTGGTCTCCCGCTACTTGTAAAGTAGTCAGTAGAATAGTCTGTTGGGAACCATCAAGTCTGAGCAGATATTAAGCAGACAGTCTAATACTCTAACGACTGCTAGTTGACATGCACACTGCAGTTCAAATGTTTGAGATTTATGTTTTTTAATGAAGTCTCTTCTGCTCATCAAGGCTGCATTTATTTGATAAAAAATACAGAAAATAATGCAATATTGTGAAATATTATTACAAATATTAAAATATAATTTATTCCTGTGATGTCGTTATTCCAGTCTTCAGTGTTACATGGTCCTTCAGAAATCATTGTAATATGCTGATTTATAATCAATGTTGAAAACAGTTTTGCTGCTTAATATTTCTTTTGGAAATTTTGATACTTTTTTTTCAGGGTTCTTTGAAGAATAAAAAGTAACAAAAAAAATTAAAATTAAAAAATCACTTTTTTAAAAATTAATTTAATACATCCTTGCTGAATAAAAGTATTAATTTCTTAACAAAAAAAAAAGAAAAAGGAATGGGGCCCTATACATTTGCACACATTTACAACCTTGAGGTTTCTTTGACAGTTGTGATGCTCGCTGCTGCACGACTGTGTCCCATAGCTGTGGCCAATGTTTTATATTTTCTTGTACATGTTATAAATAATGGATTTCTTTCCCTTTGTAGACCCCTTGTTCACATTTAGACAGGTTATAATAGTATTAGAGCACTGTAAAAAAATTCAGACCTCCCCAACTCAAAAATTTCTAGTGACTGATTACATCTAAATTTTTCCATTGGCCCAATTGAATTTCTGCTAACTGAATTTTATCAATTGTGGCAACAGTCTGTTAACATTGGCTCAATGAGAAATAATATGTTGAGCCAACTGGGAAAAAAGAAGTCTACCAAACCATGTTATTGGCCCAATTAAATATTTTAAATAGTAGTAGTATACATTTTTTTGTTTTACCTAATTTAAAAATATATATTGCTAAAGCAGCCTTACTGAATTGTTTATTCCCTGTTGTCCCAAAAGAAAATGAAAACAATATTAAATGATGATACACTAAACACTGCCACATTTTAATACTTTTAATGAAATATACAACAATATTGTAAAAATACCTTACAATTATAAATACATTGAAATGTTCTACACGGTATACCTTACAAAATCATGCATTTTAATTCTCATAAGATACACAAAGCTGATGAATTGCACCTTATACATTAATACATTCACAAACATGCAAAAAATGTCAAACACCATAAAATAATAATAATTTAATTAATAATGGTAATAATTTATCTGAGGTTACTTCAACCAGTGTTTAGGTTAATGTCACTGAATATTACCATTCTCACAAAAGGTACTCTGAGCTCATGAAACTGCATCTTAACTATTTAAACATTAAACATGAAATACATTCACATATTAAAAATGTCAAAAACACCATCAAATTTAAGTAATGGGGAGGTTACTTCACCCAGTGTTTAGAGTAATTTCACATGAACTCTACCATTCTCACAAGAGGCACTTTGAGCTCATGAAACTGCATCTTACACTTCAAATGTTTGCCAAAAAAACTCATAAGAGGTACTTAAAATTCTGTCATTAATTACCCTCATGTCGTTCCACATCAATAAGACCGTAGTTTCATCAAACAAATTTCATCAAAAATATATGAAGTCTTACGGGTTTGGAACGACATGAGGGTAAGTAATTAATGACAGAATTTTCATTTTTGGGTAAACTATCTCTTTACGTCCTTGTACTCTAGGATGAGTGCATACAATAATCAAAAAAAGTACAATAGACGCATTTACAAAGTCTCGTAAGTTGTCAAGCACCACCTCCTCTTCCAAGACAACGGAGACATTCAGCACACTTGACAGGGCCCTTGAAGTGCAACTGCTGCTGCTTACTATTTCAAGAATTCCCATTTTCATTACAGTTGTGTGGTTCTCCAATGGCTCTGTACTCTGTAAAAGTATAAAATAGCAATGTCAATACTAAGTCTACATTAGAATTAGCAGCCTACATTACACCGAGCCATGTCTCATGGCAACACTCAATAAAGCAACTCCTCACAAATTACATCTAAGAGCTAATAGTATATGACATTAATATGGAATAAACATATATAAGAACTACTGTTAAATACTCACTGTGAAATTCATAGTGGTTTCTTTTCTACAACAAATGGTGCCCTAGTGAGCTCAGACCTAGCAGTGGTGGGTTACACTAATGGGAACAAAAAAATAGTTATGGCAGAAACGTGTTCCTTGTGTCTCATACATTTCATATATTCATCATAAAGTGAGATAAAAATAATTTAGTTCAATAAGTAGTAACTTTAGGTAACTGAGAAATAGGGGTGTGCGATATTGACAAAAATTATATTTCAATATTTTCGGGGATTTTATCGATAACGATGTTATTGTGCTGGTATCTTAAGGACTACCGTGGACAGCTGACTCATAAATATATATAAATATCATAAATATGATATTCTTCATATTCTGTGTGGTGGTCAGTTCACAGCAGTGATAGAAATGAATCTTTTCCAATAAGTTTAAACAGACAATGACAATGAAGACAAAACAATCTGAAGTGGCATTTAGATTTTTTTTGTTTTTTTTACACACGGTTTAATGCAGAACATGAATGCATTTAACCTGCAGTTACACATGCATAAATAATGTTTTGATATTTTAAACATAAAACGTTGAATACTGATATTTACAATTATTTTAAAAATGAAGATACTTTAAATGTGAAATTAAAACTGCCAGCAGGTGGCAGCACAGGCAATACTGTGTCTAAAATGCAAGTCCCTTTAATATTAACTTCTTGTTTATTGAACTGTTGTAAAGACTGAATATGCAGTGAAAAAACGCACTGTAAATGCGCACGCGCACTAGTCTAATCTTCATCACGTAACATTAATGTATTCGTGCACCCTGTAAGTTAAGCGTGGTTTGTTTGGTTTTTGCAATATACAGAATAATGTCAAATCCCACATCGTTAAAACAACAATTACAATATTATCACAGATGACATCGCACACCCCTACCGAGAGATCGGTATGGGCTAAACTAGGTTATAAACTTGCAACATCTGTGGCATTGTGCTGTGGCTTCATCACGTAACATTAATGTATTCGTGCACTCTGTAAGTTGGGCGTGTTTTGTTTTGTTTTTGCGATATACAGGATAATGTCAAATCCCACATCGTTAAAACAACAATTACAATATAATCACAGACGATATCGCACACCCCTACCGAGAGATCAGTATGGGCTAAACTAGGTTATAAACGCCAACATGACACCAGTAAAGGCGTGAATTCACTGTTGTTCTGCAAAATACAATGTAGTACGTGAAACATGACTTAATAAATATGAAACTCAGTATACTCACCATAACTTTAATGATAGAAAATCCGTCTGTAAATTATGTTTTTCACTTCTGCTTGATAGATTGGCTGAGCACAATTTAATATGTTCGGTGAATGTATATTTTTAATTTTAACCTTCAGCTAAAATTACTACAATGCATTTTTTTGTTTGCGGATAATTATTGGGAAGCAATTTGTTGAGTCAATATTTATTTGTCTGTTCCCACAATTTTTCAAAATGTAATTTTTTACAGTGAGTATGCTGGGCACTAGTGGTGCTTTGGGGTAATTTTCTTTAAAGGGGTCATATGATGCGATTTCAAGTTTTCCTTTCTATTTGGAGTGTTACAAGCTCTTGCATAAAGAAGATCTGTAAAGTTGCAAAGACTAAAGTCTCAAATACAAAGAGATATTCTTTATAAAAGTTCAGAGTCAGCCACGCCTACCTAAAACGGCTAGTTTAAACACGCCCCCACATGTCTACATCACTATGTGGGAAGATTTGCATAACGCTGCCCCAAAGGTTCATGCAAAGGTCTACATCACTATGTGGGAAGATTTGCATAACGCTGCCCCAAAGGTTCATGCAAAGAAAGAAGGCGTAACTTTTATTCTCGCTGTAGTATTGTTGCCGCCGCCATGCTGTGGAGATGCTGTGGAGATGCTGTGTGTTTCGTTGTGAAAGCGAAACTACTTTGTTTGGTCTTCCAAAAGAGGACGATATCCGCTTCGTCATGCCTGGAGCTGATCCGTGCTGGTCGCTGAGGGAATACAACAGTATGGTGAGGGGCGTAACATTTCCGTCACACGCTTGAGGTATTCGGCCAATCACTTTAAGCAATTGTCTAAAAAACGCAAGGCTGTCTAATTCTAAACTTTAAAATAAATTTTTTTTTAAATGTATTTTAATTGCAAATTTAGATTAAACTGAAGGAAATTATACATTTACACGATTAAGGATTATTTCAACCAAACGTGAAGTGTGCCTGTGTGGAAAGTACTTGGGTCTTTCACAGAAACGAGTGAGCGCTGCTATTTTTTTATATAGCGCTTTATACAATACTGATTGTGTTAAAGCAGCTTTACAGTGTAAAACAGGAAAATAGTTTGCCAATGATGCACGAAGACAATAACAAAGAGTCATTTTAAATATATAATACAAACTGTTGCTTAGTATTAAATGATAGCTTCAGATGCATATTTTCATTTGTAGGGCCCTATGAAATCAGTTTTATTTTTCCCAAATTAAGTTTTATTTTTTTCCTTTAAAATTTTACTGTTTTTTTTTTTGTTTTTTTTCTGGATGGTTATATTCAATTTTAATCTAAAAGCATGTCTACTTAATTGAAATCATTAAACTTGTTTAATTTAACAGCAGTTTATTACAAGTTCAACAAAATTACATTATTAGGGCCCAAATTCTGTGCTTTCCATTTAAATTGTTCTGTATTCCATTTAAATTATTTAATCAAAAACATATCTAATTAATTGAATTCATAAAAACAACTTTATTTATTAATTTGTATACAATAATAGTGCCCTATGAAATTTTATTTTGTATTTTTATTAATTTATTGTTATTATTATTATTATTATTATTATTTTGTTTTGTATTTTAGTTTTTCTGGTAATCAAATAAAGGGAAAAACATTAATCTATCTTTTACTCCAATGAAAATTAGAGTAATTCATTTTTGTACATTCACAGTGCTACACAATAGAAGTTTACTGTGTAACGAGGAATTCGTAAAATTTTGAATGAATAAATCAAATGCAAGTCAGTACACTTAAATCAAACCGTGATATGGACTAGTGTAAGTGAATATTAAATGGCAAAAATGCTATTTACTACAGACTACAACCGGTAGGGTTACACGTGCTTCAGTAGCAAATGAAACTACTTCATTCCGTGATATTCCGTGTTACACAGCAAATTCCATTTTTATGAACGGATAAAAAATCCATTCGGGATTCTGTCTCTGCACACGCAGACTGTTGTTGTGGTAATGAATACCACACCTGAACCAGCTAATAAAGGTCTTATTAGGTATACTTGAAACGTCCAGGCAGGTGTGTTGAGGCAAGTTCGCCCCTCCAGGACCGAGTTTGGAGACCCCTGAACTAGGCAATTGCCTGCTCCTCCTATAGGTAGCACCGGTCTTGATGGTGGCTGCAATAGATGCTCATTTGTGCACCATTATGTGGTGTTGTTGTGGCTCTGTCCTTTCTCTATTTGTTGAATCAGTTGCAAATGACTTAAACATCCAGGGGTAATATTGATCAATTTATTGAATATTTCAGATCAGTTACATATTCAGTCAAAGGACACATCAGATCATACAGTTTAAAATCCCATAACACATGATTTCCTGAAAAGCCTGAAAGATACATACCCAAATTTTAAATAAAAATATTTATGGCTTATAAATATAAAATTTCAAATGATACATTGTTTGTCAAGAGTAATGTTAACTATTGTTAATAGTAAAAATAACAGAAAAATATATATATTATATACTACTGTTTCATTTGACACACACACCGTTAGAGTGTTAAGCACCCATGGCTTAAATAAAGAGGCCAGCATAAGCCGTTCACAGTTTGGAGGTTTTGTTGGAGAAATGGTTGTATTTGTCAAAACCGCTGACCAGCACTGTGGCAGGAAAAGTCCTGGGACGCTCAGGGTCCTGTCAGGAAGACACATACATATTTATATGCTTTTTCCAGCTAAACGTCTGCAGATACATAATTCTGTCATGACAACTCTCGAAGGGATTGGCATGGTAATGTACATGACAATGTTAATGTATTTGGTCTTGGAAGAATAGATCTGCTACGCTGCTGCGGCAGAGCAAGTACCGAGACTTGCTACTGCCAATACATACACAACAAGCTGCTGTGAGCATGTAAGAAATACTGCTGCTGCACATATAACGTACATGAAATAACCCCCATATAGCATACATGAATCACCTCGTAGCAGATCTATACAGGTGGAGCTGGGGAAGGTGGAGGGTTTCTGAAGCAAGCTGCACTGCTACGGCAAGCCCTAGTCATATATTTGAATGTTGAGCAGCGAGCTCATTGGCTACCGATACAGGAGAGAACCAATCAGCTGTGCCATGTGATGATGATGTCATCAGGTCAGATTGAATTAGACCTATCGGACTGCGCCATCTAGAGTTTCATGCCAGAACTCTGTATATGTTAAATGTCATCATTTTGTAAACTGAGCGAGATATTTACCTGGATTGGATAAGTACATGTAGGGACATATCTGATGACATAGCCACAGCGCCTCCTATTAGATGTGTTGGGATCGCTAGCGTGGACCAGAAGTCCATCATGGATCTGAATAGAATTTAGACAATGAATGCTTGGAAAATGCAAGATTGTTTTGATTCGTTCCATGGTTTTCTCAGACATTGCAAAGGAATGTCATGGCAAGTATTCATACTCACAGACATCTGACCAGCTTGAAGAGGGCATAAGATGGTCTTCTCCGTCTCCACCAGCTCCTCCGGGATCTCTTGATTGACACTCAGCATGTTGCCAGATCGTTTTGACTGGTGATGGGGCAGCAGACCAGAGTGGTGACTTCCTGTTGGAAAATAAATAAGGACAGTTTAGACACCTTACAAACCAGACACAGTCCTTCCTGCAAACAGAGACCGTGTTCATACCTGGAATAACCTGCAGTGCTCCATTGTCCTCACATGAGTCATCCAGAGCAAGCCAGACAGACAGAACGGGACCGCCATCAAAGCCCCAGTACCTGAAGATCAACATATGAAGATTGCAACACTTGAAATGGATACGTGAGCCAACAGAAGCCCAAAATACTTCAGTTGTGCTTACTTCATATCCTGGTGCCAGGCCACAAACGGCATTCCATCTGTCTTCTCAGTGCCGTCCTTTTCTTTAGAACAGGTATTGTTCGGTTGGATTTCCTGCGTTTTAGCAGGCTTGTTACACACTGGATATTTACAAATGAATCTGGAGTCCAGCAGGATGACGTCAGGCCCCAGAACCGCTGTGACCACCTCCAGAAGCTTAGGGTGCTTGGCGAGGGCCATCACCCAGTCACACTCCATGTGGATATTATGAAGGCTGTAAGCGGTGTAATCTTCACCTGTAAAAGAATAACTGCATTATTTCAGCTCCAAACCTCAATTCAGAGACTTATATGTAAGTCCGCAGCACCGAAGCTCACCATGCTTTCTCTCCAGCTCAGCGAAGGCATCCCGGGCCTGCTGCAGTTCTTCTGGACTGAGGATAGGAAGAGCCGACAGGTACCCCTGCTGCTCGTACAGGGCCTGAATCTCTGCCCCGTCTTTCTTCATGTCTGAAAACGCAGTGAAACTTCCGCTTGTCTGCTGGAGATGTGCGAAGCTTACTTTGCTTCTCAAGGGCTAAGGCTCAGCTGGGCAAACTCCACAGGGAACGAGAACCTGTTTTTATAACCCAGAGAGAAAGATGGCAAATAAACTTGTGTCCAGTTTCAGTCTGACTTAGGCATTTCCCTTTCCGACCTCTGAAAACCTCCTTGTCTTGGCTCCCCACTTATTCATGTCAAATTTATTCTGGGTTGTTTACGCAGGAACAGAGAGTTCTGTAGCGACTGGAAGCAATGGTCCATGAGCAAATAAATGGGAAGAACATGCTGCTCTTAAGCGCATAAAGGTGGAGGTGAGCCACAGTGAGCAGCTAGATTGCGTACTCAGGCATTGGAATCTGTTTAGTAGGCTCATTTTCACGGCTAAAGTTCACTGAGAGTGTGCAGTGCAACCAAGAAAAAACACGCACCTGAGTCAGAAAGATGCTGATTTCTTTGTGCTGAGTCTTGGTCCAAGCTGAAGACAACATTGAAAGATCAATATAAAACAATTATAAATCTATGGAGGAAAGTATGGAAACTGGATCATATTTAAATCAAGCGATACCTGCTCTCTGCTCTTCAGGCTGTTTCTTCCTGAGATGTCTTGCTCTTCACTGTCAAACTGTGTGTATATATAATAAGTTAAGGATTTGGCTCCTCCTCCAATGCGACATCACGCTAGCATACTATTTTAGACTCTAGGGAAAAAAATAAAATATGTTTGACCGCCCTTTCATACATGCTAGGGTGTGTAGGTATTGTATGGAAAATATGTTGCAATATGCTGAGCTTTACAGCTGATGATGTTGACAATTTCCAATAAGTCATACGAGCATTTCCTTTTGTGAGTAAGCTTCTTTGTGTTCATCTGCAACCAGATAATACTTCTCACAACAAAATCACACTGCCTTTGTTATCTCTGTCAGCACGTGCTGAACCTGCATCGTCACTTACTGGTGACAGCATTATGGTAAAGCATTTATTATAAAGCATAAGTCATTTATTCATACATGAACACTTACCCAACCCATAGCTATTTACTATATATTTTTATTATACAGTATATTATAGTATTTATTTAGCTATTATCTATTTAAATCATCCCTACACCCCTGACCGTGTGAACAAAATAATGACTTCATTATTAAAATGAAATATTAAAAAGTTTCTGTTTCTAAAGATGTCTATTTTTTTGAATATTTCAACTACTATTCTATTTGTGTTGGCTTTTATAGCATTACTGAATATTTTTCTGATAAAATTATGTGCAATTTTAATCATATTTCAGTTTATAAAGACATTTTTGTTTAAAGAGAAAAATCAGATTAACCCATCTAGCAATGATGATATGATAATTACTTGCAACAATCATTATCTAGCAACGATATGAACATACGTTATTATGATCTGTGCTGGGAAAATGAGTCACAATGAGCAAATTTTCAAAAATGAGTTATGTTTATGTTCACATTCTCCATTAAAAGACCTTCAGAATGATGGAATGTTGGAATCGGATGAAAAATGTCTGAGCTACACCTGTTTGAAGTCGATAGAGTCAGCAAAGTCAATTTTGAGAAAAACCGAGTTAAAATTTTCCAAAGCAAAATCACAGAGCAACGTTACATATTAATAGTCACAATATAGATATTTTTTATTTTATCTTTGTTATTATAAATAAGAACAGATGCAAAAAAACAAACAAAAACAGTAAAACAAATATAAGAAAGAAACAAATAGTGCATTACCGTTTTCATTTTACATCTAAACAAAAGCATTCAAGTAAGAAAAACAAATAATCAAATGTAAAAATCCCTTTAGTTTGTTCATTACAAATAAATTAATTATTAAAGCAGCACTATGTAACTTTAGGCGCTCTAGCGGTTAGTAAACAGAATTGCACACATTCCGCGGAAGAACATTCCAACCGGAGCACCTTCTCTAAGTTTATTTCTCTGGTGATTCACGCAGGTGTGTGTTACTCCGCAGCGGTGACCAGGCTACAATAGTCCGAATATAAGTACTTATTATAAGTGTACCGGAGTGATTCGGAATAAGAGAAAAACGCGGTTTGGAAGATGAGTTCATGATGTACTCGCTCATTATATACATTTAGTAAATTTTGAACACAGAAAAAGTTACATAGTGCTGCTTTAAATGACATGTACCTGAGAAAAAAAAAATTAGTAGCATAAAACTATTTTGAATAGCATAAAACGTGTGTGAATGTAAAATGGAAAGTTTTACGTAGATGTTTTGCACATTTTAAATCTCTTGAGCTAATGGTTAGATGACAGATTTGCTTTAGCTTTCCTTTAAAGGTGAAATCATTCTCAGCCTCAAATGAATGGAGACATGTTGCCGAACTTATCCAAATTAGAATTTACATAACAGCTAACTCCATTTTCTGTTTCATAAAGGCAGTTCTCCAGAGTGAAAGCTCAGTTACTTTGACTTTCAAATGCTCTGGCATGTCATGAATTTAGTAAAACATGCGAGGGGTCATTTAGTGTCTAAAGAAAGATGTGTGACCTGAGATGTTAAGCGAGTGCCCTCTTGACTCGTTCATTCTCATAATAAAGCCATTTGGTGAATCTGATCTCAACAAAAGCAGTTCAATCAAGAGCAGCAAGTGATTCCCCCTTTTCTTTTATTGTTAACATCAATGAGGCGGCCATCTAAAATTGTTATTTGGAGCATTGGTATCGCTAGACGAGGGCTTAATGAACTCATTTTTGTGAAAACCTCAAAATCGACATTTTTTTAAAACTTTTTTTGCCTGTAGCTCAAAATTAGCCTGTGTGCATTCACACTCATTTTGCCAGCACGGGTCACATATATTTCATTACATCTGAAGAGCCGCTATACAGTTATTAGCTTATTTCTATCTATCTACATATAGAGCTATATATAATAAAATAGATATGTACACACACACACACACACACACACACACACACATGTCTGGTTTGCTATCCTTGTGTGGACTCTCCATAGGCGTACCGTGACACGAGTCCCCATGAGTCTGTGTGTATTCAGGTTTAAGTCCCCGCCAGAATAGAAAACAGGTACACACACACACACACTCACAGACACACACACGCACGCACGCACGCA